AAGAAAAGACACCGATGTGCCTTGTGGGCCGGGGAAGGCACAATCCCCGATAGATCACAAGGTACGTTGGCGCGGCCTCCCTGGAGTGGCAAACGGTAGTGATGCGACTGTTTGAGTGAGAAGGGCCGATCCCTGGTAAAGAACGGAGTGCTCCGATGGCTGGCGCAGTCTGGCGCGGACCCCCTGGAGTGGCAAACGGTACGAGATAAGTGACAGGGCGCTCCGATGGCTGACGCGTTCTGGGGCGGCCTTACCGAAGGAGCAAACAGCACTGGTGGCTCTGGTGGAGCCCCGATTGCTGGCGCGACCTGGCACGGCACCTGCGGAGGGGCAGGCGGGTGTGCCTCGTGGGGCCTGGTGCCTTGGGAGGTGCACGCAGGGGGAGAGGAGGTCGGGCGGTGCTCGCTGGGACTCGCGCAGTGGGCGCGGGCCCTAAGACTATACACCACCACCACCACCACGTCGGCTCCTCCTCCCTCCTCCACCCTCGTCTTCCTGTCCTCTTTCCTGGAAGAGGGAGGGGAGGGGGGAGGTGGTGGTGGTGCATACCCTTGGGCCCCGCAGTGGGGGAAGCGCACGTGTGCGGGACCACTGCGAGGGACCCCCGGAGGCCGAGGACGGCCACGAGCGAGCGCCGGCTCTCGGGGCGACGAAGCTCTCTCTCTCGGCAGGCAGGGCGCCGCTCTTTCTGCCGCCGGGGCGCCGGCAGCCGGCAGGCGGCGGCCCCCCAGCCCCGGCGAGCGCGGCGCCACGAGCGCCGCGGGCCACCCTTTAGGTCGGGCGTGTCCCCCTAGAGGCGGATTCCGGAGGGAAAGTGTAAGAAGCAGTCAGAAAACATTCCACACACACACACACACACACACATATATATATATATATGTATGTGTGCAAACGCGCTCAGAAGATCATCCCCATACTATTTTTGGGGTGACTTTTGAATGCTCCCCCTAGAAAGGGACATGCCCGACTCACTGCCACCGCCTGGGCGAGCGGCTCGGCCGAGAGGTCAGCGGCCGAAGCCCTCGTAGGCCACGACGTCGCGCCCCAGGCCAGCCACCAGCAGGGCCGAGCCCGCCCAGGCGAGCCCGTTCACCTGTCGGGCAGGGGACCGACTGCAAAGCTGACTGGCCACACAAACTCGACGTCCCCGCCGAAGCTACGAGGAATGCGCAGAGTGCTCTGTAGATCTGCAGGACGTCCCGTGCTTGCCTCGCACGTTCGACGGGAAATCAATTTGGAGCCTTTGGTCGGCGGCGAGCCCAGGGGGGAGTCACAAGGAGCGGGCCCTCTCAGAAGGCTCGGAAGTCCCCCGGCCTTCTGAGAAGCCTTCGAGGCCTTCCCCGAAGACACAGACAGCTTCTCAGCAGGCGCAAGGGCTTCTGCGAAGCCCCGCCGCCTTCTGAGGAGGCCTCCTCCTCCTCACTTCCCCCCCTCGCTCGCCGCCCTGCTCAGTTTTCGGGTCACAATTCGGGTCTCCGGCGGCCGTCCGGGACGATCCGGGCATCCCCGGAACGCCCTCGGCGAGGCGCAGCCGCTGGAACGCATCCCGAGGCCGGACGACCGCCAAGAAACTGCGGAAACCATTCTCTGGGCAGATCCATTCTGCGGTCGATCTCCTGCCCGGAACCTTCTCCGGGTGCGACAGCCGCAGCATCGGCGCGGGCGCCGCCGGGCCCCAGAGGCAGATCCCCAGGTCGTTGCCGGCGGAGAAGAGCCCCGCGGGCGCGTGCAGGACCTGGGCGACCGCGGAGGCGTGGCCCCGCAGCCTCTCGGCTCGGGCGCGGCCAAACCCGACCCTCTCGGCAGGCCACCCTCTCGGCCAGACCAGCCCCCCCCGCGGCGGCACCCTCGCCTCTCGAGCTCCCCTCCGGCCGCATGCGCACGTCCGGGGGCGAGGCGACGAGGACTTGGGCGTCGCTTACGGGGGGGGGGGGGGGGGGCGATAAAAATAGGGAGAGAGAGAGAGAGAGAGTTCACTTTTTTCGGGCCCTGTAGGCCTCCTCTGGGACCCTTCAGGGCCCTTGGAGGGGCCCCAAAGGGCCCCTGTTCTGCGGCCCTCGCTGCCCCCCCCCCCATTGTCCTCGCCCCCCATGTACCGCCGCCCAGAGGAGGTCACGGAAGGGATTGCTCTGCCAGGGGTCGGTCAGGCGCCGCCCCTGAGCCTCCGACACAGGCGCCCCGAGCCCGCGTCCAGCTGCGCCACCGTCCCGTCGCCGAGCCCCACGGCCAGGCTGCCGCCGTCGGGCGCGTAGGAGAGCGAGTGCACGAAGTGCGGGTTGAGCAGCTGGCAGCCGCCCGCGGAGGTCGCGGAGGCCTCGTCCAGGTCGGGCGGCAGCTGCACCTTCCGGCCCTCGCACGCCGCGCCAGCGCTGGCGCGGGCGCTCCGCCTCCAGAGGATAACCGCGCAGTCCAGGCCGCCAGAGGCAAAGTCGGAGCTGTGGCCGGGGCGGACCGCGAGGCAGCTGCAGATGCTGCAGTGGCCCACCCGGCGGCCGGCCGCCTGCGGGGAGGGGGCGGGGCTCGTATCCAGACTCGGGCACTGGTGCTGCCACCCCCTGGGTCACCCAACTTCGCGCATTGCGCCCCGCGATGCGCGACGCGCGGTTCCCTTCGCGCCCTCGCGCCGCCGCCCTGGAAAAGGGCTCCTCCTCGACAAGGGCTCCTCTCCAAACCCAGGCCGCGATCCTCTCCGCGCCCTGGGGGGGGCCCAGATCCCACATGGTGCTGCACTTCGGTCGAGGGCACCAGGGCTGGCCCGCCAGGCCGCCCCTGCGAGCAGGTGGCGCCTCAGGCGGGCGGGCGGGTGGGAGCGGCCCGGCGGGCTTCGCGGAGCTGGCGGGCCCGAGGGCGGAGGTCTGGGCGAGCGGGCCCGTCTGGCTGCCCGAGGGCCCCAGATGGGGCAGGCGAGCGGGCCCGAGGCCAGCGGGCAGGCGGCCCCCCATTTACGGCAGGAGCTCGACCACAAGAGACCTTCCACGAGAAACCCAACCCTGAGACCCCCAGACGTCCATTGAGTTCTGGCGTAGGAACGTCACGCTTTCCATCGCAAAGCCATCGAAACCCAAGAAGCCCAGGGCACCCTGGAGGCAAGCAGGGAGCTTCTTGGCATGGGTCTACATTGTACCCCTGGGGAGACGGGCGGCGCTCGCTCACCCACTCGCCTGCGAGGGGGGCCCGCTGCGAGGAGGGGAGGAGGAGGAGGAGGAGGAGGAGGAGGAGGAGGAGGAGGAGGAAAGGAGGAGAGAGGAAGGAGGAGGAGGGGGAGGAGGAGGGGAGGGAGGAGGAGGAGGAGGAGGAGGAGGAGGAAGGAAGGAGGGAGGAGAGGAAGAGGAGGGGGAGGAGGAGGAGGGGGTCCGCCTGCGAGGTGGGCGGGCCCAGGGATTTTCAAGGACAGGCAAGGCGGGCGGACGGGTGGGCTTCTGACGCCTCCTGCCCCGCGCGTTTGCAGACGGCCTCTCGTGTGCTCCTGTCCAGAGAACCCTGGAGTCCCTGACGCTGTCCTGCGCCACTCCAGATCTGCAGGCGGACAGGGGATAAGATGCACGCATCGCATGGGGGGTCTTGCCAGCAGAGCTTGTAAGCTACAGTTGTGCTGGCGCAGCCATGAGAATGCATTCGGAGTGGAGTCATCTCTTTACAAACAACCTCTACTGACTGCGGCCACACCATGCCGAGAGCACACTCGGAAGTCAGAGATGTGGCCCCTGGAAGGGCCCAAACGGCCCCCAAGACGGACCAAAAGCGGGACCCAACAGGGAACTCGAACTGGCATGGCATTTCAAAACATTTCCTCCAAGATGGCTCCAAGACGGCCTGAAAAGGTATCCAAGAGGAGGAACTCGAACTGGCATATCAATGGCATATCAAGCCCTTTCCCCCAAGATGGCCCCCTAGACCGCCAACGGGCGCCCCAAAGGCACCCAGCTGCACTCAAGACTCCCCCAAGAGGCCCTTAAGAGGCCACCGGGAGGCTCCCAGAGGCCCCCAAGAGTATGAGTATCAATACATGTATATGTTTATATACATACACATGTAAATCGAACTTGAAACTAATACGTAGCACCCTGCAGTTGCGGATAAGAGTGAGGGGGCGGCGAGGACGTCGTTAGTCTGCGAGGCTCTGAAGAAACCCGCCGCAGGCGCCTAACTTTTAGGCGCCGATTTCTGTATAGCAATGTGGGTGGATCGCGGGGTGGGCCGCGGGTGGGTCGCGGGTGGGCCGCGGGCCGCGGGTGGGTCGCGTATGGGTCGCGGGTGGGTCGCGGGTGGGTCGCGGGGTGGGTCGCGGGGTGGGTCGCGGTGGGTCGCGGGTGGGTCGCGATGGGTCGCGGGGTGGGTCGCGGGTGGGTCGCGGGTGGGTCGCGGGTGGGTCGCGGGGTGGGTCGCGGGGTGGGTCGCGGGACCCGGGCAGGTCACGGGGTGGGTCGCGGGGTGGGTCGCGGGTGGGTCGCGGGGTGGGTCGCGGGGTGGGTCGCGGGGTGGGTCGTGGGGTGGGTGGCGGGGGGGTTCGCGGGTGGGTCGCGGGAGGGTCGGGGGGGACGACGACGACGACGACGACGACGACGACGACGACGACGACGACGACGACGACGACGACAACAATCATTTTGAGACTGTTCGCCCATATCTGCTCGAGTCTTCGTCTTCGATCGAACCTCTTTTGGGGGTATACCTTTCTTCCCTGCAGGCTGGGCCCCGGCAAGCGGGGGGCGGCCGCGGACCGTCGACACGACCCCAAGAGGGACGGACAGGGGACCGACCACGACGACGAGGACGACGACGACGACGACGACGACGACGACGTCGACGACGGCGACGACGACGACGACGACGACGGCGACGACGAGCGAAAGCGAGAGCGAGAGAGAACGACAGCAGGGCCCCGAAGGACACGAAGTAGGCCACGAAGGGCGAGAGCGGGGACATGCGTATGGGGCCACGAAGAGCGCGAACGAGCGGGGGGCCACGAAGGGCAGATAATGAGGGGCCACAGAAGACAACAATGGGGCCACTGAGGGTAGCAATTGGGCCACGTAGGACAGCGAGGGGGCCACAAACGGCGACAGCGGAGCCACGAAGGGCATGCACATGGGGCCACAACGGGCGCGACTTCTGGGTGCCTGGGTGTCGGGAGCGCGGCGCTTGAGCAAATTGCAGGAAATTCCAACGTGAGGGCGCGACTCCAGAGCGCTGGGAGAGCGATTCCTGAATAAATTGTAAGGAGGTCCCAAGCGAGAGCGCGATTCCTGAATATAATGCGAGGGGGTCTCGGGCGGGAGCGGGGTTCCTGGCTAAATTCAGGAAGTCTCAGGCTGGAGCCGTTGATGTTGTAACCCGGGTGCCAGGGGCTCAGTTCGAGCATCAAGACGTTCCCTGTCAAAAAACAGGGTGCGAGCGTCGAGGGGCACACTTCGATTGAGAAAAATATTATCCCGGCAAAGCAACCTAACAGCGATGTGTAGAAGCATATCTGGAAGCATTCCCCTTAAGATTTAGGTGAGAATCCAGTTGTAGAATTCTACTGTTCTCGCAGTCGCAGCCTCAGCCTGCCTCGGCTTGCCTCGGCCTCAGCCTCAGCCTGCCTCGGCCTCAGCCTCAGCCTGAGCCTGCCTGAGCCTCAGCCTCAGCCTGCCTGAGCCTCAGCCTGCATCAGCCTCAGCCTCAGCCTGCCTCAGCCGCAGCTTGCCTCAGCCTCGGCCACAGCCTCAGCCTCAGCCTGCCTCAGCTTCAGCCTCAGCCTCAGCCTGCCTCGGCTTGCCTCGGCCTCAGCCTCAACCTGCCTCGGCCTGAGCCTCAGCCTCAGGCTGCCTCAGCCTCAGCCTCAGCCTGCCTCAGCCTCAGCCTGCATCAGCCTCAGCCTCAGCCTGCCTCAGCCGCAGCTTGCCTCAGCCTCAGCCAAAGCCTCAGCCTCAGCCTCAGCCTGCCTCAGCTTCAGCCTCAGCCTCAGCCTGCCTCGGCGTGCCTCAACCTTAGCCTCAACCTTAGCCTCAGCCTGCCTCGGCCTCAGCCTCAGCCTCAGCCTGCCTCAGCCTCAGCCTCAGCATCTCAGCCTCAGCCTGCATCAGCCTCAACAAGAAAACCAAAAAACAATCACAACAACAAAAAAAAAAAAATAAGAGAAGAATCAAAAACCAAGAGCCGCAGCACAAACAAAAAAAATCATCACACAAAAAAAACAAAAAAAAACAAAAACAAAAAAAAAAAAATCATCAAAAACAGAAGAAAAAACAAACAAAGCAACAAAGCCTCAGCCTGCCGCAGCCTCAGCCTCAGACGCAGTCCGCACCTTGCCTCAGCCTCAGCCACCACGCTCCAGCCTCAGCCTCAGCCTCATCCTCAGCCTGCCTGGGCTTGCCCTCGGCCTCAGCCTCAGCCTGCCCGCCTCAGCCTCAGCCTCAGCATGCCTCAGCCTCAGCTCAGCCTGCCTCAGCCTCAGCCTCAGCCTGCCTCACGCAGCTTGCCTCACAGCCTCACCACCACAGCCTCAGCCTCAGCCTGCCTCAGCTTCAGCCTCATCCTCAGCCTGCCTCGGCTTGCCTCAGCCTCAGCCTCAGCCTGCCTCGGCCTCAGCCTCAGCCTCAGCCTGCCTCAGTCTCAGCGTCAGCCTCTCAGCCTCAGCCTGCATCAGCCTCAGCCTCAGCCTCAGCCTGCCTCAGGCTCAGTCTCAGCCTGCCACAGTCTCAGCCTGCCTCAGCCTCAGCCTGCCTCAGCCTCAGCCTCACAGTTGGCTCCGGGCAATCAAAACGTAGCCTGGGAATAGTGTTCTGGGAACACGAAGAACACGAAGTGGCCTACAGTTGGCTCCGGGCATTCAAAATGTGGCCCTGGAATGGTGCTCTGGGAACACGAAGAACAACACGAAATGGCTTACGGTTGGCTCCGGGCATTCAAAATGTGGCCCGGGAATGGTGTTCTGGGAACACGACGAACACGAAGTGGCCTACAGTTGGCTCCGGGCATTCAAAATGTGGCCTGGGAATGGTGTTCTGGGAACACGAAGAACACGAAGTGGCCTACTGTTGGCTCCGGGCATTCAAAATCATGTCCAGGAATGGAGTTCTGGGAACTCGAAGACCACGAAGTGCTTTACTGTTTGCTTAAAACGAGTTCCCCGGCGTCCCCCCGGCATCCTCCCCCGGATCGCGCCCAGACCCCCCTGGGGCGTCATGATGCTCTCTGTTGACCCTACTAGAAACCTATCAGTCTTCGCTGTTAGGTAATTATCCCGTCAAAGCAACCTAATAGCGATGTGTAGGAGCATATCTGGAAGCATTCCCCTTAAGATTCAGATGAGAATCCAGTTGTAGAATTCTGCTGTTCTCGCAGTCGTAGTCGCATTCGCGATGACAGTCGCAGTGGTCTGCATCAGCCTCAGCCTCAGCCTCAGCCTGCCTCAGCCTCAGCCTCAGCCTGCCCCGCCTCAGCCTGCTCAGCCTGCTCAGCTCAGCTGCTCCTGCTTCACCTCAGCCTCAGCCTCAGCATCAGCCTGCCTCAGCCTCA